CGATAATTATATTATTAATATTAATATAAATTTGTTGCCTTGATCATTTAATGGCGCTCTCAGCAAGATGATTTGTGGCTTACACAACATTTTGATTATATGTCAGATTGTTTTATAACAACATCTTCAATAAGTGCTATATAATAAAAAAAATACCTCAAATTTATAAAAATGATGTTGATTTAACCTCCCACTAAGTCTTACATATTTGTAAGTAAGTGTGTGGCACATTAACCCGCTTTGGGGTCCTTAGGGACTAGTAAAGCGCTATATAAATACAGGCCATTTACCATTCAACCCTCTGACAGTAACGTTTCTTGACACTTCCTGTGCAGTTTCCGATAATCAGCTGCTTCCCAGAAGCTTCAGACAGTTTCTAGAAGCTTCTCGGTGGCAGCCAAAGATAAAGAGCAGGCTAAACTCTCTGCGCTCACTTAATTACAGAAATGGATTAGCCATTACCCGCAAAACTACCTGTGAGTTAATGAAACAGATGCTCGTGTCAACCTTTTTTACACACACAAAAAGGGAGAAAAAAGTGACGTCATTGTTTTCTAAGAATTTTTATTGATGGGAAAAAACGATTTTTAAACTCGAAATTAATCTTTTTAAAATAAACGGTGCTTTAATGTAACATTAGCCGACGTATTTTACTATTGCGAAAACCTTTTGCGCATGGTCAGTTCGAACGGTTTGACCTATACAGGCCACCGTAGGGAAACAAGGAAGTAGACTGAATGAACAACATAAAAACAGAAGTCGGTTGTTTTATTTTTGATTGAATGCGTATCTACGCCTGTAATCGACTCCAGATTATTTTCTACATTTCTACATTTGCTTTGTAGTATATTTAAAAGCTTCTCGGTCTTTATTTAATATATATGTGTTTATTTCGGTAATGCTAACCTTCTTAGCTGGCTCGTTAGCAGCGGTGACAGGTGACAGGTGCTGTTATTAATATGGTGCAGAACGTGTTTCGGAGCGGGTTTCTGGTCCGGGTCGCTCACACACTGCTCACCTGGATCATAACCGTCATTCTGTTCCTGCACAACACTAGTAAGTCACTCAGACTGCAACCAGCTAGCTTTTAGCCGTTAGCAACAGGATGGAGCTGAATGGTAGTTGGGCTCCAATTACAAGGATTTTTATTTTACTTGAGCATTTTCGAGTATCTTTATTATTTATATTACCTACATTTATTAAGGGAAATTATGTAGTTGTTACCACCTGACATGTATCTGTCAGTTGCTGTTACAAGTTACTCCACAAATTAGAATATTTTTATTTTAAAACACAAGAAATGAGCCTAAATAAAAATAGATACATAAACCTCCAATAAATCTATATTTTTTGGGTTAAAAATGGTCATATCATAATTAAATATTTTTAAATTAAATATTTCAATGCAACGCCTTTCCAGACTGAATAATTTGTCATATATATTCAAATAATAAAATTTTAAATAAAAATAAATAAATAAAATCCAATATCTGATGTACAGTGGCCTTAATATACTCATATGAACCCATATAATAATATGTTTTTTTTTAAGTTGTATACAAGTAGAGTTATAATGAAGAAAAAAGTAATTTCCCATTTGTTTTAACAACTTGTGACTTTACAGTCTCAACGAATATGAAGATTTTTTTGTTTGTTTTGTTTTTTTTGTCTCTTGTACATTTTCAATATCAAGATTAAAATAAAGTATATTATCCCTGAGGGGTAGTGTGCTTTGTAGTCAGCAGCATAGATAACACATACACCCTGAAACCCCAACAAATCACATAATTAAAAATTAATAGTGGTAGGAACAAGTGAGAATTTAAATCCGTTTGTTCTGCAACAAGTCAAAGAATACCTCCGCTCTGAAGGCAACAGCTGATACTATGAAAACAGTGGATGTATGCTATGACCCCAAGTCCTTTCCGCTGTTAGGGTTGCCCTCTCTCTACACAGGAGGGCAAGATTATTTAGCTGCCACATTTCTACATAAATCTTGGAGAATATCTTACTTTTTGTTAGCTCTTACATGTGTGTGTGTGTGTGTGTGTGTGTGTGTGTGTAGGCTTGCGGAGATGTGAGGAGCAGGGAGAGCTGCTGCTGCCGGCTCTCTTCTTCTTGCTGGTCGTTCTGTCAGTGCTGTTGTACTTTGCCGTTTCCCTGATGGACCCCGGCTTTGTGCTCAATGACACTGTCAAGGTGAGTTTAATTAAAAAGACTTGGATTACAAATTCAAAGTAGATCCTAATTTGAGGGCTGGCTGTGGCTCAGCAGGCAGGCAGGCAGAAGGTTCAATCCCTGGCTGCTCCAGTCTGCATGCCAAAGTATCCTTGGACAAGATACTGGACCCTGAGTTTCTCCTGATGCGTTTATCAGAGTCAGTGAGAACATTAGATAGAATGGATGAATGAGACATGTTGTGTAAAGCTCTTTGAATGCTCAAATAGAGTTGAAAAGCACTATATAAGAAGCAGTTAATTGACCTTCTTTAAGGATTAAAACACTTTGTGAAAGGTTGGTTTCATAATGTTTTGTAATAGTGGTGACCGCTAACTGCCTTTTCTCTGCTGCGGAGAGGTCAGCAGTGATGTGATGTTTTCTTATCAGCAAATGGACTAAAACCTGTACTAACCTGTGATTAATGCTGAAAGGTTGCAGTGTTTCTGTGTGCGTGTGAACACTTGTGACTGACGTCTGTTTGTGTTACACAGGGCGCTCAGAGTCCGAATGAAGAAATGGAGGCGATGATCCCTCAGTCATCGACCCCTCGTTTGAGGCGCTGTGGGTACTGCCTGCTGCAGGTAACCAGCTGCTGCCAGCTGCCAAATTCCAGTGCTCACCAAGTTTGACGTGACCGCATTTCCAACTCATCAAATTCTGTGTGTTGGGTTTAAATGGTGTCTTTCTGCATCATATGTCAGGAGAAGCAGCTGATATTAAAATGGTGCCAAAGACACAAACATCCTCCTCCTGAAAGAAACTTGGCTTTCAAAATATTGTGAATTTCCACACGTACATGAGGATTTCTTAAAAACTGAAATTTTCCTCTTTTGTTTATAAGACCCCGTCAACAGCAACACTGTTTTGCATCACAAGTCACAAGAAAACCCTCAAAAACAAAACCGAGGCCATGAACTGTCAAAAGTGCCACAGCAACAGGTGGTAACATAACTCTAACCATACAGGAATGTTGACCAATCAGAAGCCTAGGTATATCACTAACAAACAATAAGACAACACACAGTCTCATCTCACAAAAAAGGTGACACTGCAAAACAAAGTCTTAATTTTCCCTGAGACAAAAAGCTAATGAAAAGCTCAGTTTTCAGCAGCCTAATACCACCACTTACATGACCTGTGTGTGTGGACAGGACCTCAGGCTGACTGTTGGTTGGACTGCGTGAAAGTATTTGATGGGACGATGGAAGCTACATGGTAGCTGAGCTTACTGGAAAGCGAAAAGTAAATAAAAAGAAGTATCTCTTGGAATAGAGGCCATTTCTGTGGCTTTGGCTCTGCTTTTAACACACCTTTGTGCACCAGAAATCTGCCCAAGTATGGTCACTCGTGGCTTCAGATGGTGGCAGAAACACACCGAGGTCTTAAAATGTGAAATCGAATGGGTAATGTCACCGCAGCTTTGTCCAGGTTTTATTTGTTGGCACACCTGTTAATCAAAGCGTCCACACCTCTGAGTTTAAGTTATATAAAAAAACAAATAAAAAACATTATCTAAAAAGGTTAAAACTGTTTTTTTCACCAGGCTATAAACATGTTCTGCTTTGAAGTTCAGACTTTGCACCTGCCAGTCAAGAAGAGCCACAGACTCACCTTTGTCATTGTTTAAAGATTTATGATGTCCAGTCATTTTCTTTGGTTAACAACCAAACTGTGTTTTTTAAATTTGCTACATTAAGTCTCATTTTATTTTTTCTTCTAGAATTAAATAAGCCCTGCAAACTGGCTCACAGACACCGTCAGAGTTTGCAAAGACTCAGCTGTAGGCCAGCATTAACCAAATTCCCCCAGTGCATTGGTTCATTCAAGTATGGAAGCTTGTTTCCATCATGAAAGAGAAAAAGAAAGTTTTGCCAGACAAAGCTCAGTCAAAACCTTTTGTACTGTATTTTTTCAGTGGCAGAAAAATGTTCTCTGTGTTGATCTCAGCCACACCCATGTATCTTACCCCTATTTCCTTATCAGGGACTTTTACAGCCCAACAAATGTTCTTACGGCCCTGAGGCGTTGTCTGCGAGTCTGTTTGCAGCACTGATTTAATTGCAGAAAGAGCTGCAGATTGATTTTCTTTTAATCAACTAATCAGTGCAGCTGTAGAAGGATTTAACTTTCTCTTTTGGTTGCATTACCCAAAAGAAACCATCTAAAAAATCTGGAGAGCAATCAACCTTTCCTAGTAACAGCACCTTTATTTTATTTTCTCTCCATGTGTGTCAAGCAGCAGCCAATGAGAGCGAAGCACTGCCACATGTGTAAACGCTGCGTCCATCGCTTCGACCACCACTGCCCGTGGATTGAGAACTGCGTGGGAGAGAGGAACCACCGCTGGTTCATCATCTACCTGCTGGTGCAGCTGCTCACCCTGCTGTCGGGCCTTCACGTCGCTCTGTACGTCTGCTAAATGCCTCCGCCCGTCTCCAGCCTCTAAGATAAATGTCCTTATCTGCTGGGAATATTTGTGGCCTCAGTTTGCCTTCCAGCAGTGACTCAGTGAAAACTTATCTTGTACTGAGTGTACTCTGCTCTGCCGCTTTATCTTTAGAAGGAATTGGGTAACTTGTGACTTTTGGAGAATTGTGACTTTTGGAGAACATCACTGAACTGAGTGGTTAAATTGTGTAAGGATGATCTGTGACAGGTTGCTTAAGCACACTTATAAAGTTCAAGTTGTCTTCATTTTAAGGTTTCCAGTTAAAGGCACCGCTGTGGAGCAGAGGTTTATGTGCACACACAGAGGCAGAAGTAAGCTCTGTGGTAATTAAACTTTACTGGGTAATAATCAGAGATTATCAGCTGAGTAAAGCATAAAAGAAAACACTCGGGGTAATGTGGGCAAACCTTTCAACAATATTTCATGACATTTATTGAAACCAGTGTTGCCCTGGACACAGAAGAATGAATTTAAAAAAAACATGTCAGTTTACACTTTGCAAGCTTCTGAGTACAGGCAGCCAAACAGCTGGCAGCCAAACAGCTGGCAGCCAAACAGCTGGCAGCGTGGTTGTTAAACACCCATTTTTATACATCTAAATAAAATCTGAAATGTGCCTTTAGTCAGGAGAATTGGTGACAACAAAGATGATGTAGCATGTTCTGTTTCAGATTTTGTTAATTCATTCACTCTCAAAAATACATAACCGATATTTCATGTTGCCCTGTGAAAAATGTAATATTTTAAATTACTCTATCAAGGTAATGTAACGTACTACATCCCGCTTAGTTTTATAGCAGATGTTTAAACATTGAGACATGCATGTATTCCCTCTGGCCTACAGCGATGTCCCCATCAACCAAAAAAGAAACCATTAGTGTTTTTGTCCTGTCAGGCAGCAGGCTTCTCATCAAAGACTGTATATAAGCGCTGGACATAACCACTGTGACGTGACCAACGCTGTCATTTTTAAAGAGTCATTGTTTTTTTTTTGTGTTACCACTGCGTTGCTGTTTTGCTGTGTGCCGGTCTCTGTGGCAACACTAAAAATTGAAGTTCGTCCAATATGGTAATGAGTAAATGGGATTTTTATTGAACTCACCAGTTAATCCAGGTGTGCTGTAGCAGCTAGTTCTCCATTGGGCCTCTGAACTGAACAGTTTGAGCGTTTTTATGCTTTTGATGCCTTTTTCGAGCATTTTTAATGGATTTGACTAAAAGTTTGTGCTTCAGTTTTGGTGGTTGCGCTTCTAGTATTTTGTTATTAACAGATGCATATGTGGCTGTGCTCTGCAACCGTCAAGAAGCTGATAACTTCTTCAACCTTGATTTCAGTTTCAAAATATGGCATCCAGAAGCAGTGGGTGACCTCACCATGGTTGCAGACTATCCATAGAAGGCAAGCAGTTTGTTTAAACTGAAGCAAGCCTCAAGTGGACTTTAGAGGAACTGCAGTTTTTTGCATTTCATCATTGTCTTCTGCTTTGTTTGTATATAAGATTAAAAAAAGAAGCATGCATTCTATACCTACTAGTCAGTATTCAGGGTGAGAACAGGCTTATGATGTTCAGTTGTTTGCTTATCAGCAAATTCTGTGAACAACCAAACCGATGATGATGATTTTAATCTTGCTAAATTATGTTTAGTTTTCTTATAAACAACTTTTTATGGGACAAACCAGTGAATTAATCCAGATTTTTTTTCTTATGATGAACTTCTGTTATAGCCAAACAGATCTAAGTTTATTCCTGTTGTGTAATTTCCTTGTGTTTCAGGTCAGGCATTTCTCCTGCTCTTACGTGGGAGCAGTGGTTCAGGGTGAATGGCTTTCTGGTGGCAGCGTTGTGCATAGTCGGGATTTTCTCCGTGGTTGTGGTGGTGCTGCTAGGCTCCCACTTGTACCTGATTTCTATCAATTGCACCACCTGGGAGTTCATGTCTCGCCACAGGATCTCATACCTGAAGACCTGCAAGGACGAGGAGAATCCGTTCGACCGTGGCGTCCTCTGCAACCTGTGGGATTTCTTCTGCATCTGCAGGACGGTGATGTGGGAGAAGGTTTACCACAGAAACACGTTGAATCCAGTCTGACCCCACAGAGGCTGGAGTCAACTAATCTCTGACTGGTTTTGTATTTTCACAAAGATGAAAACAGGAGAATGAGAAAGTGTTTGTCTTTAATTGTTTTATCCAGATACAAAAATCAAAAGGAAACTTTTTGGACTGAAACAGCGGACCGTCTCAGGAGGATTGTAATCACTCTGGTGCTCCCAGCAGTTTCCTGTTCTTGGCTGGAAACTCGGACTTGTTTTCATGTAACAAATTAATCCAAACCTCAGAGGTATCTGTGCGCAGTGTTGCCTTAACACAATCCCTTTACCCGTATTTACAGTTAACATTGAAACACATGTTCAGTGTTGGTGTTTCACCGTGTGATGCGCAACAGCTGATGTCACGGGTTTGCATGTGGGGGTGTTTTTGACGTGTGTCACTGGCTCCGTTTGATTATTCCAGCTACACTTTGAGAAGCGGACGTAAATAAATAAAAGAACCTGATAGTCTGCTCGCAGTCGTAACTGTTGATAGTTTCACATCTCTTAATATGGAAAGGATAACTGGAGTTGGACCTTGTTTCAGCCCCAGCACCTTGTTAGTGCTGCCTGTGATTTTATGAACCAAAAGATGCACTTAGTGTTAACGGCACATTAAAGGGCTCAATTTTATTCTTGGATTCTAGACTAGCTTTCCATGATTCACGGCTCTTTAAACCAGCTGTCTTCTGTTTGGCTGTTATCTGCAAACAGAAGGTTTGAACACCCAGTGGGCGGGGCTTCTAAGCTAAAAGAGCATAGGCTGTGTATAGAAGTTGGATTTAGTTGATGTGATGTGACCACTGGTTTGCAAAGGCTCGTCTTCAACACTTTCCCCCATAAACAGGACATCTGAACACTTAATGAAGAGTTATTCTTCGTCTAGCTATCGTCTTTGCTTGTTGAAACCAGACACCAGTCACAAAGCAAACCACGCTGCATCATCATCATCATCATCATCATACACTGAACAAAAATATAAACGCAACACTTTTGTTTTTGCTCCCATTCCCCATGGGATGGACGTAGAGACCTAAAATTCATTCCAGATACACAATATAACCATCCCTCCCAAACAGTGGTCACAAATCAGTC